GAGAGAGAGAGAAGACAGAAAGGGGGGTCGACATGGAGAGGATAGAGAAAATGGACGAAGGTGGTAGAGAGAAAAAGTGGGGGAGGGGGCGGAGTGGACATAAAGACTAATTTATTCATTAAAAGGGAGAAAAGAAAATCTGTAGATCTAATAGAATAAAGCAAGGGACAAAAAAGAAACAATTATCTATAGAACCACCAAAAACAATGCAAGTCGTTTTGAGACAACAAAAATCTCAGTTTGAAATTCACACAAGATTCTCAAAGCAAAGATAACGAATAATGACATAATTTGCATAGAGCTTTCTGGTTCAATGATAGTATAGGCCAAGGACGATAGATCGATAGCTTTGATATTATGTGACGGTGTATCGATAATGATAGGTTATTGATCTGTTTGATCAAAAATGATACGTGGCTCGAGAGTGTAGGGGGGTGGCGTTAGTCGTTGAAGCAGATGACACATTGTGTTAAAAACGACGTGGTTAAATGGCTAAATGAGACGAACTGAAACATGGCGACAGACAGATACGCGCTTATTGCACGAACAGCTGTTACAAAAATTTTAAAAATAAAACATACATTGTGGGTCCGCATAAATCAAAATTTGTGTGTTCTGGAATTTTAAATAAAATATTGCACGATCCGGAATATAAATTAGTTTGTCATTGTGAGCAAAAGTGTTTTGAAAAGACTCGAGAAAAATCGAAAGTAGACATCTGACAGCGGTTTCTTGTGTATATATATACATATCCCCTAATTGTCGTCCACGAAACTGTGGTCACGACTTTAGCCATAGAGAACGTTGTCTAGTGAATACGCGGTATCATCTAGCAAGCAGCACGTCGGATCTCTTTTATCAATGTAGGATTTGACCATTTTTTTTACACCCTCATCGACAGAATAAGTCAGATCATCTAGGACGCGGGCTGTTTTGGCCCCTTCCTGCCAGGGCCAATCCAGGCTGAGAGGGATACAACATCCTAGTAACACAGACAGATCATAATGATTTGAAAGCCAAAGATTAGAGGTGGTACTAGAATGTAATATTATAACTAGATCTGGAATTAATTACGTCATTTTCACAGCTAATATGGTACTGGCATTAATTACTTTGCTAGTAAGTCAATTTCAAAGCTGATAATTAAAAATGTTCATTACAGTTTGATCAACTCAGACGTAATACAAAAAGGATCGTTGTACAAGTTGTACAAGTTCACAAATACAAAACAAGCAAACGGCTACAACATACGACCATAAGAAACAACCAAAACAAAAGTACGAATAGCGTCATTGAAGCAGGACGGTGCCTCCAAACAAACAAACGACCACAACGTATGACCACAGCGTACGACCACAACATACGACCACAACAAACGACCACAACAAAAATACGAATGACGTCAGTGAAGCAGGACGGTGCCTCAGCATGGCCGTTGACCGGCGAGGTGATGACCAGGCCATCAAGAGGTCTCGTCTGCTGGTGGGGG